AAGCTTAGATGAGTTTTTAACTTATAAGGTGAATTTGTGTGGTTTAGAGTAAGTATTTGTTGAAATTACCATCACTCTCCCCACCACCCAACCACCAGAGAGGGAGGGAGAGAGAGAGAGAGAGAGAGAGAGAGAGAGAGAGAGAGAGAGAGTGAGAGAGAGAAAGAGAGAGAGAGGGGGGGAATGAGAGATGTGGAGAAAGGGTCACGTGTGGAACTATTCTAAGCACTTATTTTCTGTATTATTTTAAGTCACATTGGGCTCTTTCTTTGAAGAAATACTCTAGATCTATATCAAATCAATATAGTATCATTATCATTTATTTATTGATGTTTCCTAAAAACTTCTCAAACCTTATCCTTCTAGGTCGATGACGTGCAAAGCGTGCGGTCCGGGCAATACCAGAGCTACCAACAAGACGTCAACTCGCCGGTCACGGAGGAGGAACCATGATCACGTGGTTCTTAGACACCCAATCAAATCAAGAGATTCAGGGTACAACAATTTCCTTCGTCGTGGAGAGGAGAGACAGAAGTGGCATTCTACACGCTACTAAGCTACACATACAGAAAACGGAAGAAGATCTTAATGTGATACTACGCATGCGTCGGTTCAGTTTCATGTATACAATTAGGAAAAGCAAAGAACAGATTATCTGATGGTGTAAAGATCTTTGCCGTCATTCTGGAAATCCACTAAATATAAACAGCTTCTAGTAATGTTTTGAGCGATCTAAAATGCTGCACCCCTCCACACTCTATGAATCTTTTACTCATGGAGCCGTAATACTTTTGATACTTTCTGAGTAATATATTTTCGGCTTCTGTCCATTTTTCTATTTCTGTGGTTTCATATTTAGGAGTTCATTTTTATAATAGTATAATCTCCATGCATTCATTGTTTTAGTTATTTGTTTACAGAGTAAGTAGACCAGGATGCTGTTAACAAATAGCCTAAGAGTATTATTATTCTTAAGATTATTTTAAAAGAAAAAAAAACCCGAACGAGCAAACAATCTAGCTAGTGTCTCGTGTACAAAGAGGACGGGGAGACTTAAGGCTAATTGACCGAGGGCACAGGATCCACCAATGTTCTTGCACTCACCATGGTAACCCGTATAATTTAATTTGCTGGCCATCGTTGAGGTAAGTGGCAGAATGCATGCACCATCATCACAGGATAATGATTATTATTTCTGGGAGTAGCCCAACACCTAAACTCGTACTCTCTGTATAGTGTGGCGAACCAGTTAGCACTACTTAACCAACCAAGAGGAAATAATTATTTTGTAGGCCTGCAGATAAGGAGAGTGGCAAGTGTATGTAAGAAAATAAACGAAGTTCTTAGAAACTGAACAGAATGACTTATTTTAGTTGATTATATTGTATTAGTTTTTTATGTATATTTGTAAAATACTGATATTTTGTATTCCGTCAGTGAAATGGGGTCAGGGAAGAGAAAGATAATGTGTGGATTGTGTCAGGTCTATGAAAATAATCTCATTTTGTTTATGTGCGATGAAAAGGGGAAACTGAATGTGGGGTAGTTTTTTTTTAACTGAGGGGGGGGGGGTAGGTGGAGTATGGGGAGAGAGAGACAGAAGGAAGAGAAAGAGACTGAG